TTCGTAGTTGGCCTCCGAAGTACAGCCAGAAAAGGAAGTCGACGATGGGGTTGACGGTGGTGCCAGAGCTCTAGTGACGCCAGCCACAAGCGAATTGTTGCCCGAGGAAGAGAAGGAGGAAGTGGGGTGTGAGCCTAGGATTCTAATTTTCGAGGGAAGAGCCGGAAGGAATGGCGGCGTTGTGAAAGAAGAGGGTGAACGGAAGGTAAGTTCTTCTTCCCATTAATTTGGAAGTGAATGACATGTTTTTCTAAATTTGGTGAATAATAGAGCAATTAGATCTTTTAGAGGTTGGGGCGGTTTATGAAGTTCGGAAAGTTTGGGCGTCAATCATGCCAGATTACAATGTAAGGGATTAGTTCGTAATTAACAAAGCTTTGAGTATCGAATTGAAATAAGCCAATTGGACTGAATTGTCAAAATAAGAAAGTGGAAATTGGTTTGGTGGACATAATTGTTTAATTCTGAAAGTTGGGGCTGAAATGGTAAAAATCAGAAATTTTGAGTACCATTTCGTAATTTGCCATTTGGATAAAAAAAGGAAATTTTCCATAATTTTGTGAAAAATTCTAGGAAAGGTTAAATGGAGGAATTTGGTATCTGAATCAACCAAATCGGAGGTCGTTTGGCTAGTTACGCTTGCAGAGAAGTGAATTAAGTTTTTGTCTAAATACTTAATAGGAGGAAGAGCAAAAAGAGGTGAAGTACGAGGAGTTTGAGCGTGCAATTCAGGACGTTGGCATGGATCCACCGGCAGTAAAGAGGGTTCATGTTGATCAATGAAGGTCCGCGAATGAGGTGAGTTTAAAGGGGGTAAAATCTCCGTCGAGGTCCTTTAGATTATGCCTTTTATTTCAAGTTATGTCGTTAATTTACGAGTTATGCGCGTTTACATATTTGAGGTTCCCACCGCCGACTAAAGGTGGAGGAGTGAATGTTTGTGACGATGTATGATGGTGTCAGTCAAGTAAGGGAACCCCCGAGCGGTTGGATCACTGTTGGACGTAGTAGTTGATCAGGGTCACTGTTGGAGGGCGATACGTAGCGCAGTAGTGATCGGGCATGGTATTGGACGACGATACGTAACACAATACCATAGCTTTAAAGGTAGGGACACCTGACGGAGATACGTAAGAGGGTGATCCCTAGTAGTAATATGTGTATGAATTAAGGATAGGAGTAGAGAACTCCTATAAGTTAATTAGAGAATAAATAATAAAGGGTGAAAGTGAGAACGACTTTCACGCAAGAGGAAAATTTTTAATAACGTTAAATATTAAGGAAAAGTTTAAGGCAAGGATCTTAGGTTGTAGTAACGACGAGACTGACCCATTCTCACTGAACAAGTTGAGGAAGAGTTAGTAGATGTGGATTTCCAAAAGAGGCATGGCGAAACAAGCAGTCGCACCAATTTTGACGAGACCTCAGATAGCTCAGTGAGGAGTCAGAGTTAGACTTGTTTAGTTATTTGTGTTTCATGCTTATGAGTATAAACTAGAGGTTCGGAAGTTAGGTTTTAATGACTATGGATTGAGGTTTCCCAAGTGCTTAAGGCATTTCGCTTGAATTTCTTTTAGAAATGTTCATGTTGTATTTGTTTTGTTGAAGTTTTTTAGTATTGTTTTTAACCGGTTCCGGAGCCATGAGTATTTCAGTTTGGTTAAAAGGATTGGGTTGTTTCATTTTGGTATCAGATCCGACATTCCCCTGTTTCTTGGTCTCCAAGGAATACTGGAGTGACGGTCTAGGTTTCTCAAGGCTTTTGTTTTCAAAGGAAAGGAAAAAGGGGTGTCAGGTTAAAGGTTTGACTAAGTGAGTCCAAAGGGTTCTTTTGAGGATTTTTAGAACCTCTAGTATACTCTAATCATGATAAGGAAAATAACAAAATTAGAGCTACGACCCCAAGGAGGCAGTGGAAAGTTAGACTTTAAGCAATGCTAGGGGCACATAAGCAAAGCAAAGGAGGAAATAAGTAGGTCATAGGGAGCATGGCAAGATTTCAAGGGATCAATATGTCAAGGCTAGGAGCTACTGAACTGAGTTTGGGTATAAAATCTAGAACCAAACATCGATAAAGGGATTGTGAAATTAAGTGAAGTATAAATCCCTGTAGTAGAAGGATTACCTCATGTGAGACTTTGAGTCATCACGATCAACAAATTTCGAGGTCGAATTTTTTCTTAATGGGGGAGGAAATGTGATACCTCGACTTTGATTTAAGGTCCAATAACAAGTACTGAATGAGGTAGACCAATAAATTGAATCAAAAATTTTCCCATCACACCCTGTACCCAAACTGGGGAATTAAAAAGGACAAGTAGTTACTCGATGCTAATGAGCTTAGTGAGTATACCTTTTCTGGTTAAGAGTAAATATTAGAAGCGAGGTAAACTATATTGGACAAGCAACGAACATCATCGAAGTTCATATAGCGAGATTAAATTCTTGAGGAAAGAATATACAAGAATGAGGAGTATGGAAGAATGAGTTCGAGCAAATTTCGGGGAAATTTTTTTTGTAAGGGTGGAGGAAATGTTACACCCTGCTTTTTCTAAAATTCAAAATGACTATTGTACCATTGGATTTCATCAAGCTCCACCATAATATTGATTAGGATTTAAAATGTGAACTCTCGGTCCAAACGGTGTAGAATTTCAATGTAAAATGAGCAAGTTACGACCGTAAATTGACCGAGTGGGTTTGCTAATAAGGGCCGGTTTTGTTGGGAATGGTTTTAACTATTGAGTTTCTGATTCGGGTCGAATGGGCCTGGGCCTGGAGTCGTGGAAGGCTAATTTTTGAATTAAAAAAGTGATGGGCTTAAGCCCAAGTGGATAAGAAAGTTGAGCAGAGGAGATGAGGGCTTAAGCTCGTGATGTGATTAAAGGGAGGAGCGGGCCTCTTGGGTCGTTGAGAGGGAAGAAGAGAAACGGGCTCAAGCCCGGGAAGGAGGAAAAGAGAAAGAAAGGGGAAACGGGCTGGTGACCCGACAGCTCAAGAGGAAGGGAAGAGGAATAGTTGTTTCTCTGAAAAACCAGTCGGGAAGCAGAGTAGTTGCAGGTCCTGGAAGGTCAATCAATTCGACATAGAGTTTTGGTGGTCATGACAACTTTTGGGGATTGTTAGTAATTGGAGATTTAATTGGGGTTAATGGAGCCTGTCTCTAGGTTATCAAAATCAATCAAAAAGGAAAACGGAGCGAGAGTCTGAGAGAAACAGAGAAGGGGAATTGCTGCCACTCGCCCCAACGCCAAGCAGGAAGAAGACGAGTGGGGTTGAGAGTCATGTGTCGTTCGACAGCTATTGCCCTCCGTGGGACGAGAGGTGGTTGCTCCCTATTCATACCCGAGAGCTGCTTGCTTCCCTTTGGGGAGAAGCAGGCACGAGACGAGGTGGTTGCTTCCCACAATACAATTTTTCCATCTAGTGGCGCCCTCTTCATGAACTTATTTTGACATTAAGAGACCGCCATTGATGACTTCCGACTTGATATAGAAGATCTTGTCCTACAAGTAACATCCATAATTTTTTTTAACACAAAGAGAGGTGAAGGTGAGGGTAGAGAGCGGAGAGTGGGAGGAGAAAAAAAAATAGGAGGAGAACACGAGTAAATACTCCATTAATACACATATATATGGTCATACTTATTTTACCCGTTTAAAACTTCGTATCCATTCATTTGGTGACACCCGTACTAAACACTTATAAAATATGTATAACACGTTTGATAGTTGTAGTCTGTTTCAGAATCGGGTTCTACTGCTAAATCGTCTGCACTGATGATCAACCTTCTTTCCCGGAATCGAATGTTCTTCGGAAAGCCTATTGGTATCACGTCACGGGAGACCAAAACATAACTAGAGAGTAGCTGTTGGAAAGTCAGACGGATCTTTCTCCTTATCGTTTTCCCCAATCCATATAGTTTCATGCTTTGATCAAGAAGATTCACAAAAGGCGGGTTCCGCCCGTAGTAGAGAGAATGCGCCAAGCACGGTTTGGGGAGGGTTTTTTTCTTTTATCCGTTTTTTTAAGAAAGAAATTTTCTACTCCATCCGACTAGTTCCGGGTTCGAGTCCCGGAGAAGCTACTTATCTGGACATCCGGTTGCATAGCAGTACCGTAGTACCTGTGATAGTACGCTAGTACCTGTGATATATACACTAATATTTTTATAAAATAATAAATTTTATATATTTAGCAACTATTGACGTACTATTAAATATATCATTAAATGAACCATTAGTTTATCGACGAAGTAAAATATCCATACGTATTTTACACATAACTTACATGTACCGTATTTTACTAACTATGAAACAAGGTGAAATAACTATTATGTATGTCTCTGATAATTATAATAGAATCGTGCTAACACTTAATAGAGTAACATTCTATCGGTTCTTATATGCCTTCCAATTAATTGTAATTTACTCAAAACATATCAATTCCAAATTTTCTTTACCAAATTAATCATCCAATATTTGTGTTATAAACGGATCAGTTTGAGGATCAAATTGGTAAATCTAAAAAGTTATAAATTTTAGAGAATATGAATTCATAAGTATTAGTGACAAAAGAAAGTATTAGTGACAGTCTTGTAATTGACCATAGCATTTTATAAAATAGAACCATTAAAAGGAAATTGCATTTCGCAGAAGTCGAGGAGAAACAGTGTGTTTGGCGGACGGAGCTCTTTCTTTCTATCACTCAGTTTTCCCTCGATCTCCCTCTCGATTGTCCTTTCCTTCCTTCCAATCCCGAATTTTTTAGCCAAGAAGAAGACACCACCGCAACTTCGTCTTCTCCTCGCTGGAACTCCCACCTCTTGCTTTGATCGACATCTTCTCGCCGACCTTCTCCATGGTACGTTCTCTCGTAGACCTTCGCCTGTAAGCTTATACAATTTCAAGGTTCCAATCCGAATTCGTACTTCTTTCTTAATTCAGCTTCTAATTGACAATCCTCCTTCTATATGACTTGACCAACAGATGCAAAAAGATATGGAGGAGTCTGCTAGGCTGTTGAAAGATGGTTGTGAGACTGAGACGCAGTCCTCCTCCGACGTTGTTCCTCAATCCGAACAGCCGCAGCAAGAGAATTGGCCCAATTTCGCCGACGACGATATCATGCGACAGCACTCCGATATCCGGTATGCTAAAGCCCATAAATTGCTCAGCGATAAGGCACTCGCGCTTCCCTTTCCACTCCCTCTTTGCTTCCTACTTTTCTCCTCTCCTTCCTCATTCTTAGTTCTTACCTTCTTTCTATATTTATTTATTGCAAGAGCCTCTTTCAGCATTAGCCGCATAATATCAATCTGGTAATCCAATTATTCTGGAGAAAATAAAGGTCTCTTCCCTACCTTCCCCACGTCTACTCTCCTTAATATGTTGAACAAATGCCGTCACTCCTTCTTCACTTTTCTTGGTGTACTACTCACTATTGTCGTTCTTTTCTCCAAACAGCTACTCTCCGATCAGTATGCTACCATCAGGCAAACTCGGGGAGATGGCAATTGCTTCTTTCGCAGTTTTATGTTTGCCTATCTCGTATGCATGCCTTACCCTCCATTCTTGTTTTCCCTTTTGTTTTCTCTTTACCTACTACTCGACTTGGGTATATGATAGGGTGGATTATTCATTCGCAGGAACATATCCTTCAAACTCAGGATCGCAGTGGAGTTGATCGTGTTAAACTGAACGTTGAACAATGCAGGAAAACCCTTCAAAGTTTTGGATTATGCTGACTTTACATTTGAAGACTTATTTGCGGTAAACATATACTTCCCTGTCTTTATGGGTGCCCCCCTAATTGTGTTCCATGATAGTCACATTATGGGCCTGATTTTTAGGAGTTTGAAATTGTTATCCCACTACAAGATGGTCAATCTTGGGTGGGGACAATGTATCTTTCTGTGTTAGTGGATATGCACACCAGATTATCATTCTTTTGTTTTCTTGCTTCATAAATCTCTATTTACTTGCAGCTAATACCTGTAACTTTATTCAATTGTCAAACTTTACAGCTATTTCTTGAGCGTTGGACAATGCACTTCAAGGACATGATGATTCATTAAAGGTTTTGAACGACTCCATTTTCCATTGGGTTTTGGGGAAAACCTCGCATTCGTTTGGAGTCGTCTATGATAATGCCCTATTTTATTGTGCAATTAACATCATCCTTCTGGTCCTTTCTTTTTGGTAGCCATGACGAGCTTGTAACTAGAAGTAGAGATCAGTCAGTATCAGATTACAATAAGTTACTCCAAAGATCATGTGGTAGCTATGACTGTTTGTTTGAGTACACCTAACAAAATTGTTGTGACAGTTGTCATGTTTTTTATGTTTGTAACCTCTGGTGAGATAAGAAAGGAATCGACCTTCTTTGAACCATTCATTATGGGTTTAAAACATACCACAGTAGAGCACATTCGTCTAAACATATATGTTTCACCCATGCTCATTTCAGCAAACATTATACATTTTTTTATGTGTCATCATCTTTTGGATCTTTTTGTGATATTTATGTTATGGGCTGGAGAGAATATGATATCTTCTTGGGTTTCTGACTTTCTGTCTCTTTGAGCAATCTATTTTGAGGAACTGCAAGGTTCGGAGTGGAACTAAAAAATATTTATTATTGTTATTTTAATTATTCAGTCTGATGCGATACCTCTCATTTGTAAGTTGTAACCTTGTAACCAATCCTTTTCCAAGTTTCTTGGATGATAATAGCTCCTAATATTAGAACTCTTGTAATAACCTTAAGTTATAGCTATCTTACAAACAAAGAATATAGAAACAAAAATCCTGATTTAGATAGGGAACCAAAATTGTAGATTACAAAGCTCAGCCTTTCCTTCTCATGCCTGTGGTGATTCTGCTTAGGTAACAAGAGTATACATTGTAAGATATTAGCGTTTGAAGATAACCATTTATGATCCTTTTGCCACAGCAAAGGCTTCTTCCTGTAAACATGAGTTTTATGTTGCATGTTTGTGCTTGACATCGATGAATGTAGTGGATGAATATCACTAACTCCATATTTGGTATGCAAGACCAGCAGTTTATCTTTTGGAGTCTGATGGTATTCGTGCCTTTTTTATATATACAGTTTTACAAGTCATCGGTGGAGCCTATGGGTGAAGAGAGTGATCATGTTCACATTATCGCTCTATTAGATGCCCTTGGGGTTCCCATTCGTGTTGTATACCTTGACCGTAGTTCGTGCGATACCGGTGAAGTTGCTGTAAATCATCATGATTTCGTGCCTGCTTCTACCGGTGATCCTCCAAAGGTTACTAAAGGCACTGACAAACCCTTTATCACATTGTTGTACCGCCCAGGTCACTATGACATTCTCTACCCAAAGTGATGCAAGTAATGATTTTAGAGAGGGGTAAGTTCTTATTTCCTAAAAAGCTTACAGATTATAAGAACATCATTTAATCTTGGCACACATATATTATTTTTATCTGATGAGCAAAATATTATCATAGTCGTGTTTCTTAAGCTCTTATCACATGATGCAGACTATTGATAATACCCCTGGGAAACCCTTCAGCAGTGTTTGGAGGAGTACAATTTGTGGAAAGTTGAAATTGGCAGATTCCTGCACCAGTGCGTACTGTATGATCTGATGAAATTTCAAGTGCTTACGAATCTCATCTATGGGGATTAGGGGATGAACATGGTCAGAAATTATGGCGGCAGACATGAGTTTCATTTTAGGATTCAACTTTATCCTTTATGTCTGTCTGTCTGTCAGTCATGGTGCGATAGGCATTTAAAGAACAAGCACATCACTTGAACTTGTGGAGAAATGGTTTCATGCCGTTGACTCTAATCAAGCTTTGAAATAATTACTACAACTTATGGCAAATATCAGTTATGTTCAAGTGATGCAAACTTTTGTACTGGTAAGCTGCAGCCCGCAAGTTGCTCTTTATAAAGCTTATACAAGCGCCCAAATGCATACTTTTGACCTTTCTCACACTGAGGAAATAAAGAAAACATCTTCAGATTTCGGAAGGTCTAATCACTCGATGAATCTTGGATGCAATTGCAGGTCTTAGCAACTGTCTTGACCACGCCATGGGTTTAGTCAATAACAGGTGTTTTGTAGAGGCCTAACCTAAATCATCAATCGGTCTAATTGTCAAACTCTACGAATGGAGTGAAAGAGGGAAACCTGGGAAGAGTAAAGTTCCAGCAACGGTCAACTGCAGAGGAAGAAGAAGAAGACGCTCAGCCCGGTCCCAGCGATTTGCAGCGTTCCAAGTGAAACGCATAGTTTTGTATAGCTGTAAATGATATGTTATATAGCTGTATAGATAGGAGACGTGTATTTACCTTAGAGGACGAGGTCGTTAGAGAACCTTTATCCTATAGTCTTCTTCATATAGTGTATATAATCTGCAGCAGAGCTGCAAGTGAAATGCAGAAAGAATTTCACCAATTCATCTGTCGTTTACCAAACATTCTCATGGTATCAGAGCCTTGAGCTCGCCCTTTCTAGGTTTCATCATGGCTGCAGCCACCACTCAGGATGCCGGAGGCGGCGCTCAAACCACTCGCGATCCTCCTCCACGTCCTGCAATCATTCCCTACTATGTTATTTCTAACGAAAACTTATCCGAAGGTATCATCTCTGTTAAACTTGATGGATCTAATTACCATGTATGGAGTAGATCTATGCGAATCACCCTCAAAACCAAGAAGAAGTTTGGTTTTATGAATGTCACCTTACCTATGCCTGAAGAAACCCACCATGACTATGAAGCCTGGGATCAAAGCAACATCAATGTCATAGGCTGGATCCTGAACTCTCTTATCGACTCTATAGCTGAAGCAGTTATGCACAATGAAAATGCCCAGGATCTCTGGAAAGACCTCCAGGAGCGGTATGGCGAAGTGGATTCAATCTTCTTAGCTCATGTTCGAGCTCAAATCTCAACCTGCAAACAGGGCACCAGCTCTGTCACTGACTACTACAATAGATTAGGCGTCCTTTGGAAGGAGTACCTTTCTTTCAAATCAATCCCTACTTGTGAATGTGCTACTACTCCACGTACCACCTCCTGTGTCACTTATGTTGCTGTGAACCAGGAACAAAACCACACCATTGACTTCATTACTGGTCTCAATGACAATTTTGAGATGACCAAGAACCAACTCCTACTCATGGACCCTACTCCTGACCTGAGGTCTGCCTATAAATATGCCCTGAAGCTTGAAAGACAAATGGGCAAACAATCTCTGAAAGATAGTTCAGGGGTTGATTCAGTGGCTTTAGCTTCGTCTCAGCAGCCCAAGGGTAAGGATCCACGAGGTGACTACTCCAGACCCAACCAACCTCCTCCATACCAAAGCAACTACTCTACTTCGAAGACCTCGACTGAGGGCGCTGGTAACAACTCTCAAACCCTATTTTGAAACTATTGTAAGAAGACCAACCATGTGATTGCTGACTGCTGGCGACTTAAACGTAAAAGAGGAGAGCAGGCAGGTCAAAACTTTGCAGCAGCTACCACTCTTGGGGGCGCAGAATACCAAGGTCCAGACCTCACCTCAAATAACCACACCTATGATTCTAGGGCATCCAACAACTCCACCAACACTCTCCGCCTCTCTAATGATGATTGCACCATACTTATGATGCTCCTCCAACAGACTGCTAACAGCAACACCACCCAGTCTCCAAACACTTCTGCTCAGGCTCATTCAGTGTCCAGATACCTCCATCCTCTGCCAAACAATGCAGGTAAATACACTATCTCATCCTTTACTTCCCTACAACAGCAATAACTTCATAATGTGTGGATCATTGACACTGGTGCATCTGATCATATATGTTGCAACCTTTCATTCTTTACCTCATACCACCATGTCCTCAACACTTTTGTCACTCTTCCCACTGGCTCCTCTGTCCGAGTTGATCACATTGGTAAAGTTGTGATCAATGAGAACCTCACTCTACACAATGTCCTTCACATTCCCACTTTCACTTTCAATCTACTTTTAATCAGCACTCTCACCAAAACCATACATGTCTCCCTAACCTTTCGATCCTTCTTTTGTGACATCCAGGACCTTCCCTCATAGAGGAGGATTGGTTTTGCAAGAGAAGTTAGGGGACTCTACCAACTTAAACCAGTCACTCTGAAACCTGATCCAACTTTATCACCATCCATCACTGTGTTGTTACACACTCCTCAACCCCAAAAGCTAAACTGTGGCATGCACGATTAGGCCACCTTTCCAATTCCAGAGCAAAACTTTTCCTCCAATGTAACCCTCAAGTGCCTATAGGCACCATTAGTCATTGGGAAACCTGCCATTTTGCAAGGCAAAAGAAACTTCCCTTTACTTCCAGCTCTACTACTTGTATGAAACCATTTCAAATCATCCATAGTGACATATGGGGTCCCTTGAATACCCTTTCTTATGATGGTTATTCATACTTCCTAACCATCGTCAATGATCACTCTCGAGCTGTTTGGGCTTACTTAATGAAACACAAATCCGAAGTTAGGCCAATTCTAAAACAGTTCTGCACCATGGTGAAAACTCAATTCAACAAACCTGTCCAAACCATCCGAAGTGACCAAGGAAATGAGTTTCACATGAAAAACTTCTTTATAGAACATGGCATTACCCACCAAATGTCTTATGTCAAAAGGCAACAACAAAATGGATGTGTGGAGAGAAAACATCAGAACATTCTCAACATCGCCCGAGCCTTCATATTCCCATCCCACATTCCACTAAAATTCGGGAGTGACTATGTTCTTTATGCAGTACACATCCTTAATCGCCTACCTACACCCATTTTTTCCAATCAAACACCTTACCAAAAACTCTACCACCACCCACCAGATTACTCTCACATCAAAGTTTTCGGCTCTCTATGCTATGCCTCTCCCCTCAATAGTGGTAGAGCAAAATTTCAACCACGAGCCAGAAAAGTTGTGTTCCTCGGAATCGTACCTAGCATCAAAGGCTACAGAATCTTTGACTTTACCACCAAAAAGGTTTTTGTCTCCAGAGATGTCCTCTTCCACTAAACAATTTTTCCCTTTGCACCAACCACCTCTGACTTGTCTCCCACTCTGGAAACAAATCCTTCTTCTACTTCTTTTCCCTCATCTCCTGCATCTCCCACTACACCAAATCCTGCATATGGTTAGTTGCATACACATCATGATCAATTCATTAATGTTGTTCCCCCTGTTGATCCTCCTACACTCACTGGTTTCCTTCCATTCGAGGCCATGGATGAACAAGATCCATAATCACCTAAACCTGGTCAAAACTTAAGAAAGTCAGACAGAACTACCCAACCACCTGCTTGGCATGGTGATTACTTCATGGGAAGTGTTCAGAGCAAAGTCAACAACAAGTATCCCATATCAGCCTATATGGATTACTCCCAACTCAGCCAACCATAAAAACATTTCTCCATGGCAGTCACCAACTTACAAGAACCTCAATCTTTCGAAGAAGCAATGAAAGAACAACACTGGAGACAAGCAATGAAAGCTGAAAGAACTACACTAGAAGCCAATGAAACATGGGATGTAGCTGTACAATCTGATGGCTCATTAGAAAGGCACAAAGCTAGAGTGGTCGCCAAGGGTTTCACTCAAATACCTAGGATTGACTTCCTAGACACTTTCTCTCCAGTCTTAAGATCAACCCAATCAAAACACTCTTAACAATGGCATCGATTAGAGGCTGGAACCTCAACCAAATGGACATCATCAATGCATACTTAAATGAGGATCTACAGGAAGAGGTATACATGAAACTCCCTCTAGGTATGGATATACCAGGAAAGTCCTGTAGATTAAAGAAACCGCTATATGGACTGAAGCAAGCTGGAAGGAAATGGTACGCCAAGCTATCTGCGGCCCTAGTAAGTTTTGGATTCATGCAATCCTACTCTGATTACTCTCTCTTCACCAAGAGAATATGACACTCTATCAAAATTGTTGTAGTTTATGTTGATGATCTAGTCCCGTTTGGTGACAACCTAAGCTTAATACAAGAGGCCAATAAGTTCCTATCACAGCAGTTCAAGGTAAGAGACCTTGGAAACCTGAAATACTTCATTGGCTTAGAGGTAGCTAGAAGCAGTGCAGGCATTTCAGTCACTCAGAGGAAATTGCTTAGACCTACTAATGGATACAGGTTTCCTAAACGGAAAACTAACCAAAACCCATCATACATGAAGACAAGTTTGACACAGTTCAGTGATGAAGAGAAGGAAGACCCGTACTTGTACATATCACTGCTGAAAACCACATGCTGGTGCGCTGGGAAACCAGGTGGTTTAGTGGTGTTGCTATTATTCCAGGAGAAGTTGGGGTGTTGGCGCCACCCTTCGTTATATGTTCCACTGTAAAGATCAAGGCACCGAGCATTGGCGATGAAGTCCAACTGCTTCTGCGGTGTAAAAGATTCCCGCATAGCATGGCAGTCTTCCACCAGATGGTTCGAACTCTCACACCACTGACATTGTGCAACTGAAGGCCCGGCCAGCCCTCTGCCTGAAATAAGACTATTGGGCTGCTTCAATGTTTGGACCAACTCGCCGACCTCCCGCTCTAGCCCGGACCTAGCCTCCATAGCGTGCACACCTCGGTCCCGGAAACTCATGCTTCTGATGCTCTGTCCCCAAGAGTGATCCCTGGCAGCCAGAGAGCTGATCATCTGATTCAGCTCGGGTGGAGTTTCGGTGAGAATATCCCCTCCTGGGAATAGAGACTCGATCACCCTCTGGCGCTCTAGGGTCAGAGCGCTGTAGAAATTCCCCACTGTGAATGCATCACTGATACCATGATGGGGACACTGCCAGAAGAATCCCGAGTACCGCTCCTAGGCATCACGTAGTGACTCATCTAGATCATGGCAGAAATGAGTAATCTCCCGCTGAATCTTCATGGTCTTCGAGGCCGGATAGTACCTGTGCACAAACTTGTCGGCCAAGTCGTCCCAGGACGTGATGGACAGTGGGGGCTGGGTCTCTAACCACCTCTTCACATGCCCCCGCCAGAGAATGGGGGAAAAGGTGGAGACAGATCGCATCATCGGGTACACCATTCATTTTGAATCCATTTGTCAGTTGCAGGAACCGAGAAAGGTGCACCCTCGCCTCCTCATCCTTCAAGCCATGGAACTGGATAGAGGATGTAATCAGTTGAATCCAGCATGGCTTGATCTCAAATTTGTTTGCTGGAATGGGCGGATATAGGATGATGGGGCAGATGTCGACGACCCGTGGAGTGTAGTAGTACTCCATAGTAGGACCCGGTGGGGGTGGTGGATGCTGAGCCCCCTCTGCCTAGGGGACTGGGTTGTTCGCCAGGATCTGGTTCACTGGGGGGACCTGCATGGGCATCCCAAGGGGTTGATTCTGCCCCAGGCTAAGGTTCCCCCTGTTGTGCTCGTCGCGCATCTCGTATTCCTCTTCAGAGTCGCTGTTCAGATGGTCGTCGACGTGCACTTCCTCCGTAGCCAGTCTTGCTCGCTGTTGTCTCCTTAGCTGGTGACAGTTGCGTTCTAGCTCCGGATCTAACGGTAGTAAACCTCCTGACTGGCTACAGGTCATGCACTACCTGCACACAACCAAGCAAGCAAACTCGTGAAGGCGCAAGTGGGAAAAAGCAAACAGTCGATGCGGAAAAGAAATGCTAAAGTAACAGAAATCACGTTTCCTCAACAACCTAGCCGTCCCCGGCAACGGCGCCAAAAACTTGACACGCCTCTAACGTCACACTAAAAAGTGACCAAGTGTAACCACTAGCAAGTAAAAACAGTGAAAGTTGTGTTCAAAGTTGAGAAAGGTCACCTAGATATGGTTCCCCCTAGACTGCAGTTAAGCCAGGTTGTAATTCACCAAGTTCAAGTTCAATGATAGTTATACCGCGAGAGGTTCTTATACAGTCTGCAGTCTCGACTAAAGGTTTCCAGACCCTCTCAATCTGAGTCCCCAGCGGGCGACTAACCTCCACCAGAGTAAACAGATTGAGGCCCTAACGAACCAAACCTCCTCTACCGGAGTAAATCCGGTACAGAATAGTGAATTGACTCCTCTACTAAAGTCGTCAATTCACTACCTTCAATCAAGGGTGCTCTATCAACCAAGGCAGATATTCTCTTTCTAGGTCAAAGTAGAAATAACAGGAATTTGATTAGGATTCATGTCATTCAGGAAATCAAACCTCAATTGAATATAATCAACATCAATGAATTCATACTTAGGTTCATACAACCAGACCTAACATAAAAATCTAGGGTTCTTCATACCCAAGTGAGTGAGAGAGTTTACTCCATAGAGAGAGAAGGGAAATCTAGCTCAGATGCGGAAACCATGCTGTGAAGGATGGGATTCTGCTTCTGGCAATCAATCAGCACTTCTCCAAGCTTAAGTCGAGCTCCAATGGTGATGAAGATCGATCTAGGGCGCTTGGAGAATCTGGTTCGTCACTCTCTCTAGGTATCAGCTTTCTATCTCTAAAACTCGGAACCCCTCAAAAATTGGTCTTCTTTCCCTTAAAAAGCAGCAGGTCGCGATCCCCGACCATAATACCCGGTCGGGTATTTCAGGTGCCCGGCCGGTATTTCAAAACGATGCGCAGCAGGTAGGGGGTTAAT